CTAGAGCAGATTTGCACAAAACCTGCTCAAATGGTATCCTACAGGTACGGCTTATCATCAGTGCTACAAATTGCTTCGGAGTGACAACAGCCAGTATCTCACTATGTGTTTTATTTATTGCACTTAAGCATGAAGAATTTGCTGGCAGCATCTTCCCATAGCAATGATTTGTTCAACGTTTATAAACAGTTATTTATGATTGCCAACACAAAAAATGTTAATATGCTAAGTGCAGGGTTGGTTTTTTTTTGCTACCAATGCTTTAGCAATCGTGTACTATGTGAAAGGAACAGCTGTTTTGTAAAATTTCAGTTTCCCCCTTTTACTGATGTACAAAATATTTGCTTTAGCATATGAGAGGTCTGAAATGTGGGAATAGATGAACTCATTGAAAAATAATCTTGAGAAATTATATTGGCCACAATTCAGCTAAACTAAACCAGGTGAAGATCTTTAGACGTGATTTCAGTAAAGCTGATACACCTGCTTTGCGGGGAGACTTATACACGTCTTCCTGCAATGCATGATGGTAATGCCTTGACGAATGTTATGATCACATAAGTATTGCAAGTCATGTGGATGTTTCCCACACCAATACCCCCTTTCCACTTGAGACCCTGATGCTGGTGTTAAGAAATACACCACGAACTGGGCCTTAGATGACATCAGTTCATAGGACCAAATACGTTTAGTGGGGTAGCATGCTTGACAGTTCAGAACTGTGAGAGTCATTATAAACGGGAGATGGAAAAGCGGAGAGCAAGGGGCATGTCAGCTCTTTCCAGCGACTGCATATTCATTATTAAACAAAATATTAAATTAGACACGAACATCTAGCTCCTAAAATTAAATTTCCCTAAGCGCAAGCCTCGAATAAAAGCTACTTCATCTTAACACTAATCAATCAGTTAGCGCTCTATCCCTTTGGAAAGGAACAGAGCAGGAAGAAGCCCTCCCGTGCACACTAACTGACAGAGAGATTAAGGCCCAGTTTATATATCAGGGTGACCTTTGTACAGTTGCCCTGGAATGGGACTGCATGCTGTTGAGCTTGTGGCTCCAATGTGTGCTCTTGGGGGGTGCCAGCTACAAGGAGCATGCTGCTGGGTTTCTGGAGATATCATGCTCGTGTGGAGGCACTTTGTTCTGCAAACAGCCGCATCCCCTTGCATTTTCCGTACAGTTCCTGTAATGACATCATAACTTTTCAAGTTTTCAAGTGGAGCACAGCACCCATGTGGAAATCCTGGCTTATATAAATGCTACTTCCATTTGAGTCCTGCCTGGCTGTGTGTGTGCATATGGCTCTCCAACATGCTTTGGAGAGGGCTGGGATATGTGAATTAGCTTCAAGGGAGTGGTCTTCAACCTTTTCCAGACCAAGGACCCACCTTCAACCCCATAGGAAGCAGCAGGGATTGAATGAGTTGCAAGCACAGGGCATCAGAAGAGACATCAGAGTCCTGTGACTCTTCAACACATTTTGCTCGTGCGAAAAAGGAGTCTTCACCAACGCTGTTTCTCTTCTCAGCATGGGTGCAAAGGCTGGCAGCAGGCAGATGGTTCTTTTGCTTTCTACAGATGTGCTTTAGCAGCTGGTCCTTCTAAAAAAGATAGGGCTGCCAAGCTCCAGGTCTGGGCTGGGTATTCTCACATGTGTTGCCTGCAGTGGCAAGTGAGGTGTTTTTTTTTAAAGGCAGCATTGCTGGTGTGATGATGTTTTCTGGGGAAAACCCAGAAGTGATGTTGGATAGCTCTAGGAATCTCTATGGTAAAACCATAGAGTTTCTGGTGATTCCTAGAGTTACTGACCGGGAAAACCTGGAACTGATGTTGTCACAACAGTGCCACTGCCCCCATCTGGCAACCCTAAAAAAGGAATAAAAATGGGGGTCTACAGTGCCTGTGATCCAGCAGGTGTGGCTCCATGGTCCACGGGTTGAACATCATTCCTGTAAGGTATCCACAGTTTAACAGAGATAAAGATGTTGATTCAAAGCTATAAGGCAGTATTCTCTTTGAGGAATCAAAACCTAATATATTTGGTTTCACAATCAGATATTAGTAAAGGATAAATGCTTTTGTTCATAACAGAAGCTTGAATTGGTTTATAACAATACGACAATTCACCTAGGGAGTCTCTTAAAAATTACTTTATTGTTTTATTGCTTAGTATCAAAAGAAATGAGACATTGATTAAAGGCCATTGTGAATTGAAACTAATCATTAAGCTTTGTCCTATGAGACAGGATTGAAGGAAAAATCAAAACAACAGAAGCAGTTGAAATAGGACAGAATCACAGTTATGTTGCATTCAAGTAAACCGTAGCACATATGGATGGATGTAGAGCTTTCAGCTAGTCTTTGCTGAACAAGCGAAACTAACCAAGCACTGATTTTGATCTTCCGCAGGCATCTCAGGATCATTTTTTATGCCAGGCCAGTGAATTTCAAATAAAGCAAAGGTATACAGCAGGATGGGTCGATAAGATCTCTGCTCTTCTCCTTCTTTGCTATGAAGGATCTTCATTTCTGACTCTGCTGGTTTCCCTTTGCAAAATGAACTGAATTGCAAAACTGGTCATTTAATTTTGGTTTGTATTAAAAAAAGGCCATATAATAAAGGGTTCCAGCATTCCTACCACCCCAGATATGAAACTTTTATTTTTTTGAAAGGGTGGTTTTATTTACATGTACGAGAGCTAGAAAACGGACAGAATGGTTGCTACTGCTATCCATGTAATTAACTGGAGAGGGGGGCAAAATCCATCAGAAACAACAGCTCTGGGCTCCCCTAAGGCCCCTTGGTTCTAACAAGGCATGCACGCACTCAGGATTTCCATGCAGGCAAACGGAGCTGCAGATGTGGGATGCAGATCTGAAATCCAAAAACCCAGTTAGACACAGCAGCCCTTTTGCTGAAGGCAAAGTGTGGACTTCAAACGTCCCATCGGCACCATCTCGGGTCGCTAATGCAAACCGGGATTCAGCCACAGACTGGCGCACAAGGCAAGGTGTGAGGACTGAAGGGGACTGGAATGCATTTCTCAGAACAAGGGTATCCAAGGAAGCTGCTGACTTTATTCCACGGAATGCTAAGGAGTCATTGAGCTCCATGGGCCACACGCACTTTCCTAGGGAGAGGCCGTAGGTTGGAACAAAGGTCAGTCTATTAATACGAAAGGGGCCCTCGGCTGTTTCCACACTGTGATGATTGCCCGGGGGGCTCTAATTGCCACTGTGAATGCAGAGCCACTTGCAGCAGCGGCGGCAGAGTGTCCACACGGCCACTCCCCACGCTTTGTTTGACTCAGCCCCCCATGGCCATTCCCCCCCCCTCCATGTAACCGGAGGGTTTTGGGGGGGAGTATTTAAAACTGGTAATTGCTGAATCACTCTAGTCACACAGCGATTACCTGTTTCAAAAAGCTAAGTTTGCAAAACAACAACAACACCCCTCTAGTAATGCTGGCAGGAATGCTGGCTTGAAGAGGTTGAGTGAAAGAAAGGGCGCCAACGTGGGCAGGACTTGCATAGATGCCGCCTTCCTGTTTGCAAACACACTGCCTGTAATCTTTTCCAAAAGATTGGATCAAGCTAGGTTTGAGAAAACAGCCAATCGAAGTAAGGGAAAACCTGGGGCAGGTTTGAGAAACCAGCCAGTCAAAGCAAGGAAAAACCTGGGCAGGTTTGAGAAAACAGCCAGTGAAAGCAAAGGAGAACCTGGGCAGTTGAGGATTAGGGGACAGTGTTGTGTGGATGCTCCAAACTCGCTCTCATTTGGATGCCAAATTGGAGCACAAACTCTATGTGGGGAGTCACCCCCAACCATAGCATCCCCATTTCCCCTGCCCTTGTGTTCACCCCCCCTAAGTAATCTGCGGATTTTAGAAGCATATTTAAAGACTGATTTTTTTTTTAAATGCTGCATAATTGGTTAACAAAAGAGAAGGAAGTCAGAGCTCTTAAAAAAACGTCTGGCAACAGTAGGGTTCCCTTTTGCAGTTTATATCTTTACATGGTGGTGTTCCTAGTGAGGCCAATAGATGCTGAACAGCCTCATCAACAATCCACTGGCCTCTTGATGTAGGCAGAAGGGCAGAGCCCTGAATCAAGATGCCTTGTGGGTTAACGCAGAAATCTGAAACAGCAGATGAAACTTTGGCTTTAGTGCCATCAATTCTACCCCTCTGCGGCCAACTTGGGCTTTAACATCCCTAGCTCCAAGGCGGATAGCAGCCTGATGGGATCACTAAACCTCCTGTCTTTTCAGTTGTTGCATTCATTCATAAATATGTTCAGTCAATATGTTTTTTGTTTCTTCCTATAATTTGCTTTTTCGTTGTGAAAGGGAATTCCTTACCCATATAAACAGGATCATGCTATATACATATATGTATATATAGATATAAAATCTACTTAAATAGTCGTACCGGAAAAATAGAAAACTTCTCTAGCATTACAATCCAGTTCCTAGCTCTCTCTGTATTTTTCTTTTTCATGTAGATCCGGCAATTCCTGACTTAGATTGCACAGAACCAACCCCCCCCCCGGTGCACCTGCTGTTTTAACAGCATTGACATCCAAGTGTGCTGAAATCGTTGCCTTGTATATCGGTAAAATCAAAGGATGTACAAGCGTGCCACGGTATTGTACATCAGAATCCACAGAGAAAGTAGTCCAGACCATGGCAAGTTTCCTCAGACTGATGGCTGCGCAACTCACAGAACTGAAAAATCAGAACCAAACATGATGCTCGTTTGCTAATACCATCGACAACATTTTAGGACCAGACTCACACAATAAACATCAAGCATCAGACTGGAGTACACAGAAGAAGTCGGAACCTTTCCCCATCCTGTCACACTTCAACGAGAGAAACAAAACAAAACCCGCACACGGTTTTCTTAAGACACAGGAACAGAGTGTGGAATTGCATGGTTGTCTGTGTCCAACAGGGTAACAGTAAGCAGCTTTGCTTGGAGAAATCATCCAGTTGAATATTTTTTTTTTAAAGCAAACTGACCCTTCCCTAAAACTTGACACACCATTTTTTTCCGGCTCCTTACCCCAGGGACCAGTTTCTCAATGCTCAATTATCTTCTTCGGACACAAGAGCGGCTTAAACGTCTGATATCAATGGATCGTTGCCTCATGATTCCCCTGGTTATCTGCAAGACGGCTTATTGGGTCAACACAGTGCAAGAGAAGGCAGGCGGGCCTTGCCGGCAAAGCGTCACAACTGCAGTGGTTGAGCGGGCAACCATCAGATGTTTTCTAAGACGTCAAGGGGGACAAAGCCCTTTTTCTTCCCACTGCACACTTTGATAAAGCCATCACGTTCCTGCTCTGAAGTCATACAGATCTAAAGGGAAGGAAGGGAGGCAAATATGAATTTTTCTCTTCCACTCTCTGGAGACATTTTTTAAAAAAATTCTGGAACCTATATTGCAACTCCATGAGTGGATAGCTTGGCTGCGAGTCTCCTAAACGGATGGCGTACCTTTTTTAAAAGAACACACTCGTTCTTGTTTAAATCCATTAAAGGCTTTTAAAAATATTTTCTTGTTGAAGTGCCAATATATATGCATATAAAGGTAAAGCTTCCCTTGCTTGAAAGCCAGTCGAGTCCGACTCTAGGGTTGTGGTGCTCATCTCCGTTTCAAAGCCAAAGAGCCAGCACTGTCCGAAGATGTTTCTGTGGTCATGTGGCCGGCATGACTAAACACCAAGGTGCACGGAACACTGTTACCTTCCCACCGAAGTGATACCTATTTATCTACTTGCAATTTCTTGCTTTCGAACTGCTAGGTTGGCGGGAGCTGGAACTAGAGACGGGAGCTCACTCCGTCATGCGGCACCCGGGTCTCCAACTGCTTCACTACCCACCCTCCCA